GATCAGTTCTGGAGAGCAGAACATTATAAAACACTTCAAGGGACATGAGGATAAGGCAGCCAGCAAAAACAGCAATAACAAAAAAATCAAAGCAATGCCTTGAAGTCTTTATGGGTTCCAAAAACTCCACGTTGCTGCCAATCTGTGTGCTCACTGTACTGTAAATACACACATATTTTGGGAGAATTCACTTCAGACAGTTCTTTCAGCCCAAGTATCTTGGCAAATAAGTTGACAATATTTTTCTCTTTCCCCGGCTTTGCTTGCAGCGTAAAGGCTCTCCCTTCGTTGCAAGCGATGAGATCTAATGACTGTGGTTCCAATCTTATCAGCTTGGATGGGGCGAGAGGGTGGAGAGAGAGCAGAAGTGTTGATAATATGGTACTCCACCATCTGCAGTGACTGCTGTCATTGGCTTCAGCATGTATTTCAGTCATTTATAAATATCTGAATGCTCAAATGTGCTCAAGTTGCTGCCCCAGGCTCCATCCATTCTCACAGACAGCACCACAGCAGCCCACAGAGCAGAGGAAACCTACTGCTGATGTAAGAGCTGGGAAAGCCAGGTACAACTTATGGTCCACATCTGACATGGGACAAGCACCCCAACCAACCAATACCCCATCACACCACAGAAGCAGCAACTCTACCCCAGCAGAGGGTGAGTTGTGATGCCACCAGAAACCACACAGTCTCTGTGACGTGGCTCCTGAAGGGCTGGGGCTGGCAATGTCCCATGTCCAGAATAGCCCGTGCTTGGGCTCAAGCAGGTTCTGCCTCCGATGGCCTCAGCAAAGGACCTATGTTTCTAGAAAATAATTTCAAAGTTCATCAAGAGAATTCCCATATCCTCAGAGGGTGCTGCTACAATTCTTTATGTACCAAGGCATTTGTCAAAGTAAAGGAGAAAACAGAAGGCAATTAAGTAGCCTATGACTAAGCTGAAGGGAATAAATAATTGGATGCTTCTCTACCACAGCCCTACTTAAAAGTAGTAACAGTCCACTTAGGTTTAGACATGAGTGTGTCATGTATTTTAAGATGACACGAGACAACCCTGAAAACCAAGAATGGACTGTGCAGAATCTGTAAGACAACATCTATTCCTTTACTCTCTGGTTTTCTTAACTATTGCTCATTAGTTTAAAGTCCCATGTTTGGGGAACAAGAATCTAAGAAGTCCCTGAGAACAAAAGGAAAATAAAACACATTAAAAAAAGACAGAAAAGCACTTATGGAACGGAGTAATTAGACAAAATCTCATGTTTGAAAGTTAGGAATTCTCAGGCTCATACGATTTCAATTATAGCTCACAACTATCATTGAGTTAATTAGATTTCAGTGCAATCTTCCTTATGATTGCTTTTGCCTCTTCTGAGAGTCACTTTATTCCTGAAATGAATATACACACTACAGAGGTGTTCTACGAAGTACCTACAGTCTACCTCTATTTTGGTACGTTGTCTTCTGCTCCAGTAAGATGTGTGTGAAAAAGTGAACAGCTGATAATATGAAAGTTAGATGTTGAAAAAATCCTGAATGACTACATACAACATGGAAGTACCTGTTTTGGAAGACCTGTTTTGAATAGAAACATAGGCTTCCAGTCATATAAGAAACATCCCATTAAAATCAAGTGTCAGGTTGTGCACAGGCACCTTTGCAAGAGCAGGACACCAGGAGGACAGCATTCCAGCCAGCTGCTGCTAACACAAGTGAAAGCTGTGAATTTTGGGGGTTACGTGATACAACCTGACAACCTTAAAGAGCTGTACTACTGATAAAGACAGTATCCCTCCTCAACCTTGCACAGATCCTCCAAAAAAACCAAAGATACCACAAAAAAGCTTGAGATATTGCCTGTTCTGTTACTTTACCTGTGCTCCCCTTTCCCTACGTCCAGAAGAACCTCACACTCCCCAGCACTTCATTCACGTCTCCATCCCGGTACCAAAACACAGCGTGATTCCAGAAGAAGGTCTCACTCCGTGAAGATGCTGAGTACTGCCTTGGCATAAAAGCTCCTCTTCCCCAGCCCAAAAGCCACACATTTTACAAAATACCTTAACCATATGCCTTCTACCTTTACAGAGCAGTTCTGTCTTTTCATTTCTTTCCTTCTAGAATGGGAACGGAAGGGGAGCACTGACTAAAGGACAAAGTTTCCCTTCCACACACCACACGATGCCTGGAAGGGGCAAAGTCTTCACCCACCCCAGCCATGTAGAGCCCAGCCCCGTCTGGCACAGGAGCAGCCCCACGGCCAGCTCTGTGGCCAGGGTGGACACTGACCCCCACCAATATCCCCCCAGATGAAGATTTCACTGTTTGGAAGGTGACACTAGAGAGCGAGTCTCATCTCCAGCACCAGAGTCACCACCTCTCCTTCTCCTGCTCTGGGCTGTGTCACTTTTACAGAGCACCAAGGCATTTTTATCAAGCAGAGCAGCCCCATCACTAACAGCCAACCATAAAAAGGGCATCCAACAATAACACAGTTGCAGGGACACAAAATCCAGAGCGACTTCCGTGCCCGCTTCTCCCCGGAGAAGAAAGGCCCCTTCAGCCGCTGCCAAGCGCTCGGATCCACAGCGGAAGGGGAAGCCCGTCCCAGCAGAGACATGACAACACGGGGCCTTCACTGACCCAAGGCCAAAGTTAAAGGTGGAAACAGATTTACACTGGTAACGGGGGGAAAAGCTCCACCCAGAATCAGCCAACCTGAACTGGGACGAGGCACCATCCCAGCGAGTTCTGTGGTCTCTGACAAGCGGTACGGGTAACCAGAATGGTATGACAAGTTCTCGGCAGGAACTGTTCTTTCCTGTTTGATGCTTCATCCAAATAAAATGTTTATAAACACACGGAATCATTCCTGCCATAACAGACCATGACCTGAAAGGGCTGGAGGGCCCCAGGAAAGGGACACAGGCTGCGCGGCCGCTGGCACTAATCACGGCTCTTCCCATCTGCAGACCACTTTACATAATGCCATTTTACACCCAGCTGGCACCAAACCCCGAGGCTTTAATGCCCAGGCTGGTGTGCCCTTCCCCAGCACACCCTCCGGCAGCGCAGAGGCCACTGCTCCAAAACCTACAACTCTAGAGAGCAGAACCCAGCCCCGTGGGACACACGTTTCGTCCTGCTCCCTTCTCTTCACCCCGTTCCATCCTTCCGAGTTGTCTCAGCCCCTTCTCACCCTGAACACAGGAGAATTTTCTTTGCTCCTCAAACAAATCAATTCCCTTGCCATTTCTTGCCAATCCAATGACACGTGTCTCACCTCGTCAGCGTTGCCATCCCACTCATGGAGAAGGAAACACACAGCAGCCCAGGGGACAGATGTGAGAGGAACTGTGGTAGCAACCTCTCCAGCTGACCCTGCTGTAACCAGCAGCTACATAACCCCTGTCCAAATTACTGTTAAAGTTCCTTAAAAATGAAAAATGTCCACCTTAGGGCTTTCAGCAGAAATGTCTTGAGAAATAATAAAAACAAGTATGAAAAAAAAAAGGTGCTACAGGTCAGCTGGTTAGGAAGATTTTACAGTGTCCTTACTGTTCCACACACTCGTTTTTCATCACCTGTGTGTGTCACATCATCACTCGTACTGTACAAAAGAACACCCCACCTCACAAACAAGTTGCTTACACTTTGCAGCTCTTTTCACAGATGTGAAATGCTGCACAGGACGTCAGAAAGAAAGAAAGAAAATGTAACAAATTCCATTGAAATTATCAGCTGTTTTTTCCACAACTCTAAGGCTCATATTTTTTTTTTTATTTTTTTTTCCTGCCCACGATGACACTGTGTCCTGTCAACCACACTGCCATGGACATTGGAACAGAGGCCACGGCCCAGCACGGAGCAGGAGGGTGACAGAGGCAGAGCATCCCCGGGCTCTGAGGCTTGGTGGAGGCCAAGAGCTTCCACACAGCGATTCCTGAAGCACGGATCCAAAGAGGCTGCCATCCCCGGGAGGCTCAGGGTTCCTGAGGGAGCTAAACCTGTCACAGGCACAGTGACAATACAAGGAACTCCAACAACAACAAATCCACTCCCAGAACTTCAAATTTAAGCAGAGAATTCTTAACAGGGCATTAGGAAAGGGAGAGACTTCCCACTTTTCAACACAGAGATCCACACTTTGCTTCCCTGAACGTTCAATGGTCTAAAAGCGGCTGCACGTGTACCTTTTCCACACGGGCTGCTCAGGAAGCTGTGGAATTTGGAAAGCTCCATTGCAAACAACTTCAGAGGCATGCTACCTAACTCACGCTGCTCCCTGAAAGGTGCCTTTCTCTGTCCCTCTCCTTCAATGACAGCACATTTTAAACATGGTGGGTCTGGGGCAAAGTCCCTTGCAAAATCTCTCAATCAGTCTCATGAGCGATTGACACAGACAAAATTTTCTGACCAGAGACCTCACGACCACCTTATGCAAAAAATCTCTAGGAATCTGGACTGGGAAAAAAAAATAAATTTCAGCCTTTGAGAAAAGTTACACATTAAGAGTAGATATTCCTCAGGGTACAAGCTGGCTTAAAATAAATTCTCACATAGTGATTCTCAAAAAGGTCAGACTTTTGTCTACTATGGCCTCTAGCTACTGCTGTAGAAACTGAAAACAGTTACCTATCCAAATCCAGTGTCACATCTCCTCCTGCACTAGCCCAACTGCAGATACAGCTCACCTGCACTGGCTCAGCTCTCGCAGCAACACTTTGAGATGAAACACAGCTCTGAGCGCAGGGATGCAACGATGCGACCCCCCAGCCCTGCGACAATACGCCAGAGCATATTGTTGCACAAGGTGGACCTCTTCTGGTGAAGAGCTTGTGCTCCAAAACACCTGGTTTCATTCGTCTTGGCAAAGCAGAAGTCTACAGGCATCACAACATCACACAGCTTCTTTTAAAAGTAAGTAAAGCACATGGCGGGGTGAAGGGGAGCAGCAGGTGAGAGAGAATCACAGAGCACACGTGTTGAGTCCTTACCTCAAAGAGTGTCAAACTTTCATCGTTCAAGATGATTCTGGGAGGTGCAATAACTGAAGTTAAAAAACAAGTTACAAAACAGGACCACCCAGCAACCAAAAACAATAAATACAGCAGCTACGGGAGGGGTTACTGATCTTTAACGGAGTGACACATTTACTCTGCCCACAAAGGCTTCTCATGAGGCAGAAGCGGGATGTGGCTACGTGAGCAGGTCACACCTGCTCTGCACTCCTCCGAGGCCGTATTTAGGGAGGGAATTCCTCCCCAGGTCATACCTCCACGGCTAGGAGCAGGCATTGTAAAGTAAGGCCAAATATTACCAACAGCACACTCACACAAGTAAAAAGGCAAGTCTGCATCTGCAAGGTGGCTTCTTACAAAGTCTCTCAAAACGCCAACTGTGGGAAAAAAGGAGAGAAAGTTTTGCTGAACTACATTCGTTTGTTCAGATGCTGGGCAAAAACTCTAACTTGTACCAGCACAACTGCCCTCTACAGCGTCTGTAGAATGATTTTTCCTCAAAAGAGCACTGTTACTATTGCTAATATCTTGGAGAAAAAAGAAGAGGAAAAACCAAACCAAAACCACCCAAAAAACCCACCCCAAACCCCACACCACAAACCAGAAAACATTTAGACATACTGATCCCTTAGCAAAACCTAAGGATGCCAGTGAAGTTCTTCCTAGGAAATCCAACCGCAGCTGCAGGATTTCCAGAGACCAGCCAGGTGAGAGTCTGGTAACTAGTTATTTGTTCTTGTTCCATACCAAAGTATCAAAAGAATTGTGTGGGTAACTATCACTGCCAGCTGGGAATAAGAGGATCTCAATTAACAAGAGCTATTTGGTGTATGGTCTGACAGCCTTTTGTGAACGTACCATTTGGCCACAAACAACGGGATATCAAGTGGGACAGTTTCCTGAGTGAGCAGAAAGATTTTGCTATCAAGTAGCCTGACAGTCTCCATCAATACTGGAAATAAACTCCCCTTAACTAAGATAATTACCCCAGACCCTTTTCTCATCCAGTTTGGGAGTCCTATAAGGACAATGTTAACTCGCCACTGCTGCTTTTTCAGAGCAGTGTTGCTTCCTTGGACAGCACAAAGATCTGTCCAGAGCCATTCTGCCACTCTCTTTTGTCACACAACTCATCAGTAACGAGAGCTTAGCTGCAGCAACACAGACTCAAGTGGAGATTGCGCTTACCGGTTTCACTGGGATGGAAGAAGCCCTGTAGAACGTGACGATCCGGAAAACGGATTCTCAACACCACCTAAGTCAGAGGCAAAGCACATTAGGTCAATCGTTTATGGCTGTTCTGCAACACCTCTCCTTGGCTTAGAATTCGTGAGGAAGTTGGTACTTTTAAATGGGGAGATTTGAGATATTTACTCTATGGGGTAGCAGAGCACACTGGCTAACAATCCCTGTGCAGCTCCTCAGAGAACATGGGCTGTGTGGCTTCCAAATGCTTTAAGAGCCCTGATCTACAGAAACAGTGTGATGTACAGCGTAGCAGCCCTTACTCAGAGTGAAGGGGCTCCCTCTGCTTAGTGACACAGAGAAAGTCACCCATGGACAGGCACAGACAGTGTATCAGTGTCTTAATGTGCCCACAGCAGCACAAATCCTCCTGCCATTCATCTGAAGTAACTCATACTGTTCTATTTCCAGCATTGGTCAGAAAGAATTTAACTTTGGGAACTTAATCTGTTCTGTTTTGCAATAAATCACCAAAAACAAAAACTGCATTAGGATCGTATCTGCAGAGTAAGGTATCTCCAGTCTGTATCATCTTACCATTTAACTTGTAATGAGATACTATCAAAACATAAGAGTCTACGGAGGAGAGGCAGAGAGGAGAGCTCAGTTGTACCGACTGACGTGTGCTACGTAAGGGGCTTGAAACATCTGGACAAAATAAAGGGAGCTATATCGCCAGCCACTCAACCGTATCGTGACAGGCCAGCTGATTTCACATGGTACAACTGTTATGCAAGTCCCACAAACAATTAACAAGGACTGGAATTTGCCGAGTCTTCCTGTAAGTAGCTCAAGATCCTGTTGATCACAACGGATTCCCAAAGTTGCTCAACCTCCGAGTCTGGACTAGCCGGAGGGACTGGAAACAGAACAAAGGCTACCTTTGGGTAACGCTCCAACTTCTCCTTCAGCTGAGCCTCCCTCAAAGATTTTGTCATCAGTGGAGCTTCTTCCAGGCGCTTCCTAGATATGTGGGAAGAAGACAAGCTGTCACTTTTATAATTTTAAGATGTATTTTTATTTTATTAAGAAACCGAAATGTCCAAGCATGGCTGCTTAGAACTGTTCAACTGTTCCATATATCCCTCTCAGCATTTCACCCACTTCCTGTGGTTCCTACCCCAAAATCTTATACATGGAACTACCGAGCATCAGCAACAATAGCGTATAAAATTATTTTTCTTGTATAATTTTAAAAAGAAGTTCACCACAGCAGATGCCAGAAAAGATACTAAGAAGAGCAGTGGCATGTTTGCTTTGACTATTCAAGAAGAGAAGGACTTGTTAATCCAATAAAACAAATGACTAAAGCTGGACATTACTCCAGGGAGGAAGAAGAGCTACTGATGCTGGCGCAAGAAATTAATGGGTATTAATTAGCAACAGGGAAACAAAACAAAAAATAGAAGTTTCAGATCATTCAAGAACTGGCATTGTAGACTGGTGTTCTAAAGGAGTAGTGGGTGCAAAAAAAGTAGCGTACCTGTATTTAAGACAAAACAATAAATTCCAGAAAACAATTATATATTTTCTTGTCAGTAAAGAAACAAGCTTAAAGCCAACAGACCCCATGTCCAGTGTCAGTCCCTTTTCCTCGTTTGCACTTAATTCTCAATAACCATTTTACTGGGCTAGATTTTGGTGCAACATTTGATCATGCAACTCTCCACAACTCTTTGCAAGTTAATCTCTTGCACCTATGCAGTTTGAAGGACCTCTTTTTATTTTTAAGAGCCATCAAGGTGTCTCAGGAACAGCTGCTGAACAGAACAACCGCAGCATCACTTGGAGTAAGCTGTACCCAACTCTCAGCTGGGACACAGCGTTCCAAGATGCTCTGAAAGTGCCAACTCACAACCCGAAAAGTTGTTCACAAATGTGGAAGTAACCTGCTCCGTTCCTTCTTCACGCGCCAAGTGCTGATTCATACCAATTCTCAGCTCTTCTTGATGACAGAAATAAATTCTAATTGCATTTAAAACACTGCATTGTATGCAGCTAGCTTTTGTCCAGATTCACCAGCTGCGATCAGAAGCCAAATGGTATCGGTTTCATGTGTAACTTGCCTTTATTTTTATCCCTAGCTGTGGGGGGAAAAGGGACTACAAGCATCAGCAAATTTGGAAATTAGGTCTTTTTCTTGAGGGGGCTATTCCAGTAACCCCCAACCAAATGATCCTACATTTGTACCACTAAATACTCAAGACCCACAAGTGGCAGAGCAATTTTCAGGCCAATCTGTGTACTCATGTGGATTTCAGTGGCCTGTGGGGGGAAAAAAAAAATCAGCTCTAAGTAGAAAGTTCAACTCAGACTTGGTTACAGTGTAAAGTAAAGGCTATCCCACGGCCTCAGAGAATGCTTGTAGTGTTTAAAAGGAATGTTGAAACCAAATGTAGTCATGAAATTAATTTATTTAAGGAACATATAGTCAAAAAAATGCTGTTGCAACAGAGAGGTTAGTTTATCTTAATCTGAGTTTTTAGTTCTGAACTAAAGTACAGTAAAATCATGAATATTTGATAGCAAGCTACTCGAACAATGAGATGCATCGTTAGTCCAGCTTCCCATACTACTTCCTCCTCTTTGTGCGTATTCCAAATGTTCTTAAATATGTCTTGATTTGTGTTTAGGCTTGATTTTGCTTTACTTCCACTTGGGTCATGTCTCATAGCTGGTCTCTTCTGATGAGGTCCAATAAAAAGCTAATTCTGTTACTTAAAATACAAGCCCTTTCTTACTGATTGAAAATGCTACTATCTACTACTGAAGTCAGTGGGAGTTATTCTTATGAAGCTGGATCATCGCGTCCATCACAAGTTACAAATTCCATCCATTTAATTCCCAATAGTTAAAATGAATGAGATCAAAACCGACAGCAGAAGCTCACCACCGCTTGGGGCCTCTAGCAAATAAGAGCACATCTAATTACAAAGGCAGTGGCTTCTCTTTCAGAAGAAGAGAGGAGGAGGAAAAAAAAAAAAAAGAGAGGTCGGGTGTTAAGTGGCTTCGAATAACTCCCTGAAATGCAGAATATGGGAAGGAATCTTTCTCTTAATCCTTTCTCAGTGAGGGCCCATCCCTGATTAGCTTCAGGTTCTCAGATAAACTTATCACCACACGGGCATCACAGACACCTCATGACGGAATTTTCAACACCCACGTGAAACCATTCCCCCACTCACAAACGCTCAACCTACTCACAGAAAAACATGGGTTCTGTCACAGAGATATGACATAGCCCTCGAGCTCAAATGACACAAAGGGCAGAGACTTTCAGTACTGATCATTAATTACCAAATCACAGAATCATATGGGGTCGGAAGGGACCTCTGAAGATCATCTAGTCCAACCCGCTGCCAGAGCAGGTCCACCCAGAGCAGGTCCCACAAGAACTTCTCCAGGCGGGTTTGGAATGTCTCCAGAAATGGAGACTCCACCACCTCTCTGAGCAGCCTCTGCCAGGGCTCTGCCACCCTCACAGGAAGGAAGTTCCTCCTCATGTTTAAATGGAACTTCTTATGGTCAAGTTTGTGCCCATTTCCTCTTGTCCTGTCACTGGGCACCACTGAGAAAAGACTGGCCCTATCCTCTTGACACCCGCCCTTTAAGTATTTATAGGTGTTGATCAGATCCCCCCTCAGTCTTCTCCAGAATAAAAAGACCCAAGTCCCTCAGACCACCCAGTAACTTATCTACAACCCTTTCTCCAGCGATCAGAGCCAGCTGATGGTGGGTGGTGCATGGTGTCACTCTGCTCAACAGAAGGGGATGGAGCAGCCTCGGTCGCAGCAGAAAGGGAACTTGCCTCTCACTCTGCAGCTGCGCCAAACGCTTCCGTACATCATCCACCGTGACTTCAAAAAACTCATCAGGAAGCTCTTCTGGGCCAGCAGGAAGAGGTTCCAGTAGGTCTAGGTGACATACAAGTGGCTCTCGTTCTACAAGCTACAGAATAAAAATAAGCTTCAATTAGCCTTAACTGCATTGCTTTGCTTACGCTGGAAGGTTCCTGAAAAAAAGCAAAAGGACAGGATTTGCAAACTGAAACACAATCACTCGTGTGGAATTCAGCTCGCTAAGATCAGACTAACAATACAGAGGTTGTCAGTGTTGTCATTTTTTATAGCTGATAGACCCTGGGGCACAGTTTCTCCCAGCACACAGCAGGAACGGGGACTGTCAGGTGGGTCTCACCCCGGCAGTGACCGCTCTCTGGTTTTGCACTTAGAACTTAGCACTGAAATCAGCCCTCGTTGAGGGAAGCAGACAGACACGAGGGGAGCAATTCACTGTATGCACTGGCTGCAATACAAGTACTTAATACATTTATTGGCACCTTTCCCTACGCCCCAGCAGCTGAGGACAGGCTGTTCAAGGAGCCAAGAGACCCCCCATCACCTCCACAGCGGGGTTCAGGCAGCCCCCCCAGCTCTGCTCCCCAACACCCAAAGCCAGCATCACCACGGCAAACCTTCCAGCACAACCATGTCCTGGTCTTTAACTGTGGTTGCAGTTATTAAAAAACAAAACAAAACAAAAAAACCACAAAAAAACACACCAAACCCCAGAAAACAAAAACCACCACCAAAACCCCAAGCCCCTACCCTATGAGACAAACAGCATTCCCTGTCTCTGAAGGGAGAATGGCATTCCGTATCCCTCCCAGTTCAGAAAAGATGGATACTGGCTACCATCCCTCGCATCAAAAGCGGCAGCTGTGTCCCCAAGGTGAACATAAACCCCTGCCAGAGTCAAATACAGAGGAGGCAGTTACACCTATTGGCTCTTGAACAATTCAAACTTTTTAAATCACAGAAACGTTTAAACACACAAGGCCTGAGAGCAACCAGACCAGTGCACTGCGGGCTGCGGGAGATGCAGGGGAGGAAGCAGTCCACGAGAACAAAACCTGTGATAGTTAACACAGCGTTTCACCAGAGCCAGCTTCCAGCCATGCACAGCTTTATGAACAAACCCGATGCCACGTTTCTTCTCCCCTTATTCCCTCATACACTCTTTCCAATCCTCATTAATACCCGAACATCCTCCCTCCATCTGTTCCATCCGCGCTCCCTTCCCCCAGACGCAGGGCCCTTGGGAGCAGGAGTCTCCCTCAATTGTCAGAAGCGACAACACAAATTACAAGGCAACGTTCGCTCTGCTTGTGGGCACTAAAGGGTAATTTGAGAAATTAGAAGAGCTAGGTTGTGTGGGTGGGACCCTCGGCTACTTTTAGAAAGTTGAGCAGGGTCAGCTCTAACGAGCGGGTGAGGGAGCTGATTGCAGCTTTCCCGGGCGCGGGGGGGTGCCCAGGGCGGCGGGAGCGATCCCCAGACACCCAGGGAACCCGCCTCTGGAGTCTGAGCTTCTGGGACTCGATTCCAGGACTGCACGACAGGACACGATCCCAGACGGGGGTCACAAGGTGTCTGCTAAGCCCTGCCGAGCAACCTGAGACATCGCCATTTCGCCCGAGGATGCAGAGACTGCCACATCATAATGACATTGTAATAGCTCTTCTGCCGTGTACTTAACACCCCTGGAATCAACCATACATTTTGCCTCCCTATAGACACAAGGAACGCCCTTCAGAAAGAGATATCCAGTCCTGTTGCTCTACCAGTTCTCTCTTTCCCCCCAGCCCATCATCCTGTTCCTCTCCATCCATCACCATTTTCTCACTTGGGTGTTCCAATTAGGCATCTCTTCATACACCCTTATTTTAATGTGTCACCAACCATCCTAAAGCGCAGAATCTGAAAACCACCTTTCCAGGGCAATTCACAAAGAGGAGGGTACTGGGTACACCAGCTTGCTTCCTAGTCCACCTCACACCTCTTGTTTCCTGTGGCCATGACACACGGTAACCACCTCCTGTGACAATAAATGGCAGTTTCTACCTTCCATGGCCTAACTCTGGAAGAAAGAAAGCTGTGCGTTTTGCTGTCATATTTCCATCAGCAACACCTTTCAGGAGCCAAAGATGCCGCGTTACGGTTTGTCACCTTCGTTCTTCGAAGTCCCTACGCGTGCTACTAAAGCTGAGGTGTCAGGCACTTACCACCAGTGCCTGAAGCCACCTACTCACATCTGTTCCAGCTACTGGGCCACCTACATAACCGCAGTCTGTGCCATAAAGCCAGGAAGAACATGGTTCACTCTACGGTCACCTCCTGGACCTAAGCAGGCAGGTAAGATGAGGAACACTTATTTCATGGTAAGTGAGGCAGTGGGTATTGTGCTTTCCCCAGCAGCGAGCTCTCCCTGGAGACCCACCTCCTTCCTACCACCTTAGGGAGCTCTAATCTCATGGGGAATCTGGTGTAAAGTTACCTTCTAATAATTAATGTTCTGACATCAAAGTCAGCGTGCAGCTGTCTGTAAACCATCTTTAGCCCAAGAAACGAAGGGACGCCGGCACAGATTTTATCCAGCCTCTCTCTTCAGCTTCAAAAACCACACACAGACAAAGCATTAATGGGAAGATTCTTTTACAAAAATGGACCTTTGATGTTTAAAAATAATTTGTTTTGTTTTGGGTTTTTTCCTCAGGACTGAAAAGGGACAAAAAGCAGATGCCATGTGGCTCGCCCCGCTCGGCTGTTGCTGCTGAGAGCAAGGAGAGTGGAGGATGGCAGGAGTGGAGGAGGGAACAAAATGTAATCAATCAGCAGCAAAAGCACCAGAGATCAAAGGGCTTGAAAGCAGCAGTCAAAATCACATGCTGTTTAACACAAGGGCAGAACCCCCCCCACAGCATCTGCAGCTGCTTCCAAAGCTGCTCTCCGGCTGGGGGGGGGGAAGCTGGCTCCAGAAGAGCCGCCGAGTGGCTGGAACTGGATGGCAATTCTGAGAGACGCCGGATGGCGAGTCCTTGGGCCACCACAGCTCAGCTCCGGGGCCCAACAGCACAACTTCACGTTAAGCTGTGGCCAGTAAAATGATAAAAGGAGTTCTGTCGCTGCAGCCAGCATACAGAGAAGTGCAGACACAGGACTGGTGGAATCCCACCACAAACCCTTGCACTTCTGCCTTCCTTCCTCTTCAGACATGATGGAAACTCTTCCTTTCCAAAGCCCTCCCAGGTGAGCACGGCTGAAGGAAGCAGCACGAGACTGGGCAACCTCCCAGCTACTGTCCTGTGCTCCACACTCAGGGTCTGTTCCAAAAGGTTAAATAACACTGATTAGATGGACCCAAACGTGTCTATAATATACCGAAATAATCGCCACTGGGTTGGCAAGGCCTCTTTCTGTTATGTTTGTAAGGGCTACTGCTCCTTCCAGGGCCTGGCTCCTGCTCCTAAGCACTTCAGAAACTTGGTAAGAACGGACTGCAACCACAAAGAAGTCAACCAAGGTAGAAGCTCTACATCACTGTGGGAGCATACAGAGTCCTGCTAAATTCCTCCTGGATGGAGCTCCCTTTGAACCTCATTATGCACCTTTCTCGCTGCTTATGGCTTTCCGTTGTTTAATCTCATGGCTGGATCACAACCATGGGATTAAACACAAAACTCCAACTCTTGAAGAGTTTAAGAGTGGGAAACAACGAAGGGGATCTCTGACCACTAAAGCCAGCCCCAGCGATGATGGTGAAGGGACAAGGGAAAGAGCTGGTCACAGAGCATCCAGGATGTTTGAAACATCCAACGCACAATAATGTGAAGTTATGAACTTCATGCCTCCTGTACTTCATTTTACACTACTTGCCAGATGCATCCAACCTTGCTGAAGGCATTCCATCCCACACTGCTGCCCTACAGAGAAAAAACTCAACATCATTCAAAGGCCATCCTGTGGTGGCATCACAGCACTCCCAGGCCATCTGTTCTGGGCTCTCTACATGGGCTAAAGGATTTTTAATTTTAACCAATACAGTTTTAGTTCAGAGACACCAATGATAATAGATGTGCAATCTGTCTTTCTGGAAAAAGGGTTAGAGAGAGGTAGACTTTATTTAAGAAGCAGGATATTTAAGAGCAAGATTTTAATTTATTTAAGAGCAAGACAGAAAAGATTTTTAAATGCAAGCAGAAATAAAGAAGGAAAAGGATAAGGATAGAGCATTTCTGCTTCACCTGCAACACTAAGAAAATTAAGGCTCACAGAAGGGATGGGACTAGAGTGAAAGGAAGAGAAGAGGTCCAGACCTATTTTTCTCCAACATCAAACTCTTGGCAAGCAAGAGGCAACTGTAGTTGAAAAATTCCTTTTCTAAATCTGTACCCCTTACATTCTACCATACGTGTCACCAAAAGAGCTAAACTGTAAGTCAGAGTGAGCACAGGCAGAAGGAACTCCGAGGAAGCAGATGTTACCACCCACCAGCATGAGATACTGCTTTTACAATAGCTTTACTGTGGAGTTCCACATCCCACAGAACGGCTCAGACAAGAAATAGGGGCACACCTTACAACCCAAGCGTTAGAAACTCTGACCACCTTCTCAGGTCTTGGAAGTCACAGAATCAAGTCACAACAAACCTATTAGGCCGCTTCTGCTCCTAGGACAATCCTACAGCAAGCCAGAAGTTATCCCTTTCCAGATGTAAAACACTACCAAGCTTACACCTCCTGCATGACCTGGGAGATCAGTCAGTCATGACAAGCAGTAACCACTTTCAGAGGATTATAAAGCACAAGTCTGACCAAACTCTGCTCATCTTCAGCAAAATACACAGCAGAGAGCAATTTTGAAGAGAAGGAAAAGTACCCAGGGCTCAGGTGACAAACTGGGCATTGGTTAATGAAATCTGCATGGAATTTGAGGCACAGGGATTGAGGGTCTTCTGGGACTGCGCTTTTCAAGCAGTTGTTTTGCCTCCATTACAACCCTTCATTAAAGGTACCTCATGGTTCAAACCTCTGCTTTCCTCTGGACAGGAAATTCTTAAATTCCCATCCTTCATGTTTCCTATAGCAAACTGTCCACAATGCAATACTTCCTTACTGAACTCTTGGCAGACCTGTATGTCACCAAGGTACCTAACCCTGTATTACGGGGGAAAAGTCTTAAATATGGAAAAACTACTACAGGGAAAAAGTCTTAAATATCTTTTTCCTCATAGGAGCTCAGCCACGGGCAAGGCAGCATAAAAATAGCCCCCACTGAAAACAATTTTTCCTTACCTGTGCTTGCTCCTTCTGCAGTTCTTGGCTGTTCTTAGACTTCTTTGGCTTAGAAGGGCCTCCAGGGCTGGAAAAAGTTGTTGGCAGCTTTGAAGATGGCGTATCTAACCCAAGAGATGGTGCAGCTACAGAAGAGTCCCCCAGACGCTGTCCATCTCCAGAAAAAGGGACAAAAGGGGTAGACTCGGGCTCAGAGGAAGGCCACGGCTCCTCCAGGCTGGCAGGAGATTCTCTAATCGAGTCTTGCTTGTCTGTGCAGCTGTTTAAAGACATGGCCACATCCTCGTGGTCCAAGTCCTTTGGGAATGTGTTTGCTTGAGGTAGGGGCACATCCACTGCTCCTTCCACAGAGCCTGGCCCCACTGTCAGCTCATTACCCTGCACCGTGGCACCCACAGCTTCCTCCTGGCCAGATGAGCTGCATTTCTTCATGACAACTCTTAAAGAAGACACCAAAAGGAATAAAATCAAAATCATTTATCCTAACTGCACTGCCCTCCCCATTCTCAACGTGACCATGACACAACAGCTAGACTCAAATATACCCCTAATTTAATGATCTGTTTCTTCCAGACACTCACAAAGAACAAGCTCCAGTTGCTCTGAAGTTAGGGGTAGGGGGTTGAGAGTTTGTGCAAGAAAAAAAAAAAAAAAACAAAAAACAAAACAGAACAGAACAGGAACTACCCACTCCACAGGAAGAAAACTGCCTTCCAGGAAAAAACAGCAGTCAGTTGTAAAGCACAGCTTCTAATCACTCCTGCTCTCTGAACATACTGCAAAGAGCTGGCCAGAAGATCACAGAAAGGCTGTCCTTGTCCCCCACCTCACCCTCCCAAACAGTCAGCAGGAGGCACTGCAGGGATTGGGAGTTTAATGCCTGAAAGCCAAAGCAGGGAAGAATGAAGTGGTAGATGATTGTCTTCTCAGAGAGACAGAATTCTAACTTTGAATTGTCTGTTTCACTCACAGGGGGGAAAAAGGAAAAAAAAAAGAAGCAAACAAGCCCCTTTAATCTGCACATGACTGGTCAGTGCCAGCATCTGCAGCTGTGGGAAGCACATCTGGGCAGCAGTTTCAGATAAACAGGCAAATGCAATAATTACTGAATGCCGCGATGTTTGTCTTTTTGAACTTTTTTCATGGTTTTTTGGTGGGGTTTTTTTGGTATTTGAAACAAAACAAATTCACCACCAGAGTAGAAAGGAAAAATAAAGAACTCAAACTTTGCTCTTCCCAACCTGATGATGGCACTGCCTCCAGTCAAGCCAAGTGACTTCAGTGTTGTCTTCTCTAGGGCATCTTTTCCTGATACCTGCAACAAAACCAGAGGAAAGTAATTATGGAAACTGCCTATGGGAGAGCATTTAAAGTGCCCTTTGTAGAAAGAAGCCTGTATCAAAGCAAACACCACACAGCACCAGAAGCAGCTCAAAACACACTCTTTCTACAGTTGGAAATGAGACCTCAGTCCATGGGTATACCTGCACCGCTTTACCAAATCCACTGCTTATTAAATTAACTCAAGGGGAGATGACCTACATCTACATTTCCGTCCCACACATTCATCCAAATCAGATCCAACCTCAGCAAAGCACTATTTTTATGTCAGAAGTTAAACCACAACATCACAGAATGATATGGGGTTGGAAGAGACCTCTGGAGATTATCTAGTCCAACCCCCCTAAATCACAGGCAACATCTCTGAGCTGAAAGACAGACGATTGCATTACATACACCTCCCATCTGCTTGTAATGACCTGTTCCAGAATAAAGATGATCTGTCCACAGAGGTCAGTGGGAAGTGAAGGGGACAGCTAGGGAGAGCAAATTCCATAATACGCACATACAAAATATTAAACAAAACATTAATAGCAAAAGATCAAAACACAGAGAAAAGCAAATATTTATTAAAATGAAACCACTGTTTTGACTCGAGCTTTAAAAGAAGTTGGAAAGAAAAACACAAACAGGTCACTGAGCTCATTTTATGGGCTCAGAGGTCTAAACGGCCCAGGGTTACGTTCCAAGAGAGCTTTTTTCCATACAGACACGTCATGCTTTGAAAAGACCAACATTTTTCTACTTCCCCTCTCAAGAACGTTCAAAAGAAACACTTTCCAGGTTGGAAAGCAGAACTGAGTTTTTCTTCTTTTTTAGGGACAGAAGGACAAGAGACAGTTAAGAAGACTTTGCTGACCTACCTCATCTCGCATGTAAATACAGACTGGAGAGGATTCACCCTGCTGCTCCATAAACTCCCTGCAACAAAAAGCAAAATACTGCAGCATCTGGTTTTGCAGTGGGTAGACTGTTCTACAATATAGAGCAATAGTAAGAAGCGAAATGAGCCAGCAACACTCTCCTCCACCTTCCTCCACAACAACCATTACACAGTTCACAGAGTCAGGATTAGACACTAGGGAAAGACCCTGCTCCAATGCATTCACTGTTCCTTAAACACAGCTCTGAAAGTTTAAAAACAAAGGAGGAATAATTACAGCTAATTCTCAAATTAGTTGATCTTGCCACATAAATCTGAGCACATCATTCTTCATGTGCCCCAGTACCTGATCTGGAACACGACTTAATAACACTTGCTGGTTTTACTCCCTTATCTAAATTAAACAGTTTATTACAGTTTAGACTGTACTTTTCTTGGGGACAGGTCAGTTTCTTTCCATGTAAGCACAGAAATAAACAGAATGAAATGCTGCTCTAAAGCAAATAATCTGAGGACAAAGAATTTGTCCTTCTTTGTGACAGATTAAAAAATAAAAAAAAAAAAAAAAAAAAAAAAAAGAAACAGCAGAAACTTTCAGATTCTGGAGACCAGGGACAAAACAAAGCCAAAGGAAAGGCTGCCACATTTAAGCATTTCAGTGAGGCAGGACACATATTAGCGGTGATGCCAACTGCCAACCCACTATCTGCACAGGAAGACATAGTGAAGGACTCCTAGCACAGAGAAGGGGAAAAAACAGTAAGATGCTACTCTTAAGATGCTTCTCTTCCCATTTCCCTCTAGATAAGCAATTCTGAGGTTTATTATTCACTTGATCAAGCACAGAAAATGGACAAGGGAAAAACAATCACTACTTGTCCCAGGAAGTCTCAGTTCTCATCCATCCAAGACCATGCATTTTCCAAAGAGAGCACATGTGGAAAACCCTACAACAGCGTGCTCTTAATGGAAAAAACAAACAACAACAAAAAAGACTAACCTCAGATGTCTGTAGAAAAATAAAAAGCCTTAAAGAATCAACCAGTACATTTCACTGAAGCACTGAAATCAGTGAGAGAACTGGATTCAACAGCAGAAGAAAATCTTTCACCTTGGTCTCCCCTTCAGCAGTCAACATGAAACTCAAACTGAGATCAGCTGAGAATGTGGCAAAACATGAAATTAAGAAGAATGGTTTGCTTCCTTCCCAAGCACATTAATGGCAAAAAGTGACCAGGAGAACACTATCTGTGCTGAGACAACTGGCTGAATTCTCACAAGCGTTGTTTTCCAAAGTTTTAGATTCAAAAGTTTCAGCCTAACTTAGCAGGGGAAACTAGAAAAAAAAATGTGAGAAAGTTGCCCCAGGATATCCACCATGGACACAATGAGAGCTGACGAGATTTATCCTCCTCCATAACACTCCAGTAGCTCATCAGTTTTGTCCCAAGCCCTCTGTCATTTCAGTTGCACCAGGACATCCCTTGGTAGGAGCTGGTACGTACCATCTGCACTGCAACAGCTGCTTTATCCTCAAAGAAAAACAGCTGAAATTCCTCCTCACGGTAAACTCCCTTGATCTTAGTGCTCTCCACAGTCCAGTCTCTGGGGGAGGAAAATGGCTTTCCCCAGTGCCTCACCCCACCAGGAAACAATCACCATCACCTTGGGTGACTTGAAAAGAAACCACCTCTCTGCAAATCAGCTAATGAAACCCACCTGAGTGCCCGTAAAGCAAGGCAGCCCTGCTCCTCTCCAGAGGCCCCTGAGACAGAGGCAGAAGGCAGTCCCTGAAGTCAGCCTCCAATCAGGATCAGCTGTATCCCTACAGGAATCCTCCATAAAAGTGGACAAAAGCTGAAGGACTGCTGAGACATGGAGGGAGCAGTACAGGATCCCAGCAAAGGCAGACAAAACAGCCCAGAGGAATAAAAGCTTGAAGCTCAAGTTGCCTGTTTATCAGGAAAGGTGAATGATGGCCATTTCTGAGAGAAGCCAAGGCACAATGGAACACGCGTCCTCACCACACGGACCCGCAAGAGAGCAAAACAGTTTGACTTACACACTCTAGTACAATTCACATTTCCACAACTGCTTTCCACCTCAATCCAAGCAACTCTTGGGTTAAAGAGCCTTCTAAAAATGTATGGAAAATATCTGAACTTAATGAGCGATACCACAAAAGGAGCAAAGAGTCATAGCCATTGTCAAAATTGTCTTCAGTTGTCCGGACTGCAAGCCCTTCTATGTAAAACAGCCTACAAAGCTGCGGAAGCTGCCAGCCAGGCAAGAGCAGGAGACAGAAAACCAACAGCTCTCCCAGGCCTAATGCTAAAAGGGCACACAAAGCTTGTGCCCTCAACCATCTCTGCAGAACAGACTCAAAGGAAAGATCCCCCAGAGACTTATTTTTGTATAACTCTTGGAAGCCGGCAGGCTCCTCCTCCAGCTGCTGTTAATCCATGACATGCATTCACTGAGGCAAGCACACACATCAAACACACTGTCATTTCTTTGATGTGCTGTTCTTCAGAAGGGGAACGGCAAGCAGATTAGATTCCTTCATGTAGTGATCTGACAGGGCCTGTAAACATCTTGTGCAAGGGCTGCCGCACGCTGAGAGGAGGAGCAGCCTCACAATAGCTTCCAGACCTTCTTCAGACCCAATTAGCCAAGATGGACGCTGGAAACCCGGGGGAAATTCCAGTGGATTTAGAATACTTCCCCTCACGCACTTAGAGCAGCTGAGCATTCCAGGAAAACATCTCCAGTTGGAAAGTCAAAGGAAGGACTCAGCAAAAGTCAACAACTAGCTGACTACTTAGTCAACGCACAGTGAAAAGCAGCGCAGCCCACGAGATCTATATGGATGGCTGTAGATCCAGCTTGTTCTGCAACTGCCACACGCAGCATCTTCGCCCCTTGTTGAACTTAATCAAGAGTTTGCAAAGTCCATCCAAACATCTGAGCACAGCTTCCAGCGGGCAGAACAGCTGTGTCTTATGAACTGAAGTTAACAATGCTTAGACACTGCGGCACTTAGAATCTTAAAAAGAGCAGCGTGTACATTAACTATTAGTATTGCAATAACCTGTAACAAATAAAAGCACTCCGAAAGAGCACAAGTATACAAAAAGCTCAAAATTTAAACCAAAGAAATAACCAACTCCAGTTGCACAATTCAACTGTGCAAGCCCGACTTAACGAGGTAACGTCAGCCAGTTCAGCCCCAGAACCACGCTCCTCGGGCTATTTCAACTACAGCATAGAACCAGCAACTTTAAAACTTTAGTTAAAGTAATTTATGCCAGTACACATTAGTCTAGTACTAACACATACCCATAACCAGTCAGTTACTACGGCTCAGCTACCAGGTGACAATTCAGCATTTTGCATCCTGTAACTGTACCCTAAAGTGTTGAGCTTGAGCTACAGCACCACCATCCTTATTACTGTCTCTTCAGATACGTATTTAATTGGTAAATTAAAATTTGAAATCAATTTGAAAAAATGGTAAATTAAAATCTGGAATTAACAAAAATAGCTCAAATTTGCACAATACCATAGCACAGCACCTGTACAGATGAGCAAGAGATTCAAATGCAAGCGAGCAACTAGCAGGTGGTGAGAAATGTAAGAGAAAGAACCAGCTAAAAATACAGGATATGGAAAAAAAAATATCAAGAGAAAGGTAAAGCCAACTACAACAGAAAAAAATGAAATTTGGAAATTCTGTTCAGAACAGAATGGTTGTCACAGCTTCAAGGCTTCATCTTCCAAGCCATGACAAAATGAAAATAATTGTCTTTACAGAAAAGTTTATTAGCTTGACATTTCAAAACAATACAGTATTTTAAAGTCAAAACTAAAGACAAAAGAAAGCACTGAATGTAGGCTGGACTCTAATAAAGATTTCTAACCCATGTATATATTCAATGAACGGAGAACCAGAAATTCTTCCATTTAAACAGGATCTAAACAGTCGTTTGAAGATGCCACATCAGCCTGCTAGGAGCTCCAGACTTCCCTGAAGAACTTGCACAACAGCAAAGATTCAAAAGCAACAGCAACTCACTTAAGAAAAAAAAAACCTCCACCACATGGAACTGCAGCACAGAAATACGGGTGATGGAGATAAGGCAGGCTCCCATCTCAGCTCTGGCAGTAACCCGAGCAATAATAATGAAACTATGGAGTCTCAAAACTGAAAAAGCAAGGAAGAAGGTGAACACCTGTGTTGTAAAGGAACAACCACCTTCAAATAAATGCAAATTCTACACATCTGCAGGATTTATCTGGCTCACCGTAACAATAACTAACTACTGCCATGCAGAGGTACATCCAAACAAGCATCTTCTCGCTGCATTACTCACCTGATCTTTGGAAAATGGTTGAGAAGTTCCCACAAAGTCTGTTGACAGACAAATGTGTCTTGTAAACGGGAGCCATCATCTAACTGTAATGCAATCCGAACCTACAGGAAAAACACACCGAATCGATCTGAAAATTGAATAAACACCATTTTTTTCTTCACAACAACTTTTTTCAATATTTCAGTAACTTCTAGAACCCGCTACCCAAAGAACCATTACTTCCATCTAAACACTTGCTGCAAAGGATTACATTAGTTAAAAATGCAGTTGAGTAGTCAAATGATTATTTTAGAAGTTAATATTTTGAGTAGTTCTATTCTGCTATGAATATGAGTATTATGTACGAGGACCTTATAAGAGATGGTGTCAAAGGCCTTACTGAAGTCCAGGTAAACAACATCCACTGCTCTCATCTACCAGGTCAGCAATTTTACTACAGAAGCTTATCAAGTTGGTCAAGCATGACTTCCCCTTGTTGAATCCATGCTGGCTACTCCTGATGATTTTCCTGTTGTTCCACATGCCTGGAAATGGTTTCCAGGATTAGCTGCTCCACTACCTTCCCAGGGAGCAAGGTGAGGCTGACCCACTTGTAGTTCCCTGTGTCCTCCTTCTCGTAGACAGGAGTGACATTTGCTTTCCTCCAGTCTTCAGCTACTCTTCCCGATCGCTGCAATCAAAGACCCTCAGGAGTAGCCCTGCAGTGACATCTGCCAGCTCCCTCACCACTCATGGGCACATCCCATCAGGACCCGTGGACTCAGGTCAGGATCACTGACCTGATCCTCTTCCACCAAGGGTACATCTTCCTTGCTCCAGCCTTTCCCTCTTTCCCCACCCTCATTTTCACCCTCTGTAGGCTTCTTTTTTGTGTTTGAGTTGGCCAAGAGCTCCTTGTTCATCCATGCAGGCCTCCTGGTAATTTTGTTTGACTTCCTATTCGTTGGAATGGACCATCCTGAGCATGGAGGAGGCAATCCTTGAGTATTAACCAGCCCCTCTGCCCTGCCATATTCTGAACCAAAAGACATTAAAAGGCCAACGCAAGTGTCCCAAATAACAGGTCATCTCAAGTGACTGAGATGTTCTGTTTTACACAAACTGAAACTTTACAGCAAGGGTCTTCGCAGGATAAACCGAGTTCCAATAACCCAGACAGGATTGATGCAGCTGCATAAACTCAAACTCCAACCCAGAGCTCTGTTGACTTAAGCATCAATTTGCAGAACAACTTCCCCGAGGCAGAACAAAGAGTGGATTTGCACGGCCACACAGAGAAACAAGGAATACAGCCCAAATCCGTCTCTGAGTTATCAAAGACCTAACCAACTATTACCCGTCCAAGGAGACCACATGTGTAACTTGCAACTCACTAATGCTTCCTAGCCACAAACTTTTGACGTACAATTTAAGAGTAAATTAATCAAAATTCTCAAAAATTAATTCTGGACTCTCAATTATCAAGTTCTTTAAACACCTGTAGAAAAAGGCAAAGGAGAGGTAGCTGATATTCTAACAGGCCTTTTCCAGCATGGAATGTGAACATTCATGTCCGTTAGCAGGTCTTGTGCAGATCCTACATATTCTCCAGAGAATTCCTACCAGAGAAAAAATAATTCCAAAGCATTTCTGAAATGAACACACTGAGGACAATGCTAAGAACTTCAAACTCAACCTTGAGGGTTGGACTACATGACCTTTAAAAAGGTCCGTTCCAACCCAAACTATTCTATGAGTCTGTAAACTCCTGATGGTCCCAAGGGAGAAATCCAGCAGCTGACCAACAGATGGAAAAGGGCAGAGCACTTCAGGTGTCATCTTTACCCTTTAGAGAATACTCAGCTTTTTTTTTCAAAATGTGTAATTCTAAGTTTTCCCAATTAGATTTAAAGAAAAGTTAAAAAAAACCCATCCCTATTAGACAGCACCTCATGTCTCTAGTCAACTATGTTTTTCTGAAGTCCACAGATACTGGCCTTGTTCAAAAGTCTGAGGAGGACTTAACGTAGGACATCAACAGCAGCTTTCTTTCGTTCTGTTTTTATGTGTCCCTACCAACAACCTCAGCACATCCTCTCTCTGTGAGAGCGAGCATCTGTGCATGTGTGTGAGCTGGGGAGGAGAGAGAGATGGGGGAAAACAGACACCACATACTCCGGCAATCGACTGTGATTTCCTTGGAGGAATGTGTTTGTCATCTGCCTCAGCTCCCACCAGTCCTTGCAGGACTGCAAATTGTCATCTGCTGGAGACAGGAATTCTTCTACATAAAGGAAACAGTGGCATCATCTACAACCAGCCAACAGAACTGAGTCGTTTCATCCCACCACTAACACAATCTCCTGGTTTCTCCTATGCTGGAGACAAGCCTTAGATTATTCTCAGCTACAGTGGAGTGATGACAGCTGACATCACCGTTCTGTAAGAATCCAGCCCAGAAATTCAGACTACCAGTTGCATCAGTTTTTGGGCAACCGTTCAAAGCTAAGCATGTCACGAAAGTCATATTCAGTCAATTAAAAAAGTCAATTTTAAAAATCCCAGGCTCTATATAAAATAATAGAAAGACCAGTGCCAATTACCTTCTAAGTTTACAAACATATAAACAAAAGGCTTATGACCTTAACGCTGGAACTGTACTGATGGTACCCTGAGATCACCCACTGTCACATGGGGAATTCGTTCCATTTTTCTCTAAAGAACTGTCTTACAGGAATCAATGATTTTTACACGCAAAGGCAAATCCAGAAGCATTCTACTTCACAAATATCACCTCCGCTGAACAAACTCGTCATTTATCAAAACCTGTGCCTGTCTCTAAGGGTAACTGCTGCCAACATGCTTCAGGAAAACGCACCTGCTTCCACCTGCATTATCTCAATAAAAGAGACAATAACAAAAGGCACAGAACAAATTCACGCCAGCATTACTGCAGTCAGCCTGCATGACTGAGTCCGCATCTCAACTGCCACCACACTGGGGATAATGCTAGTGTCAGCTCTGGTCACAGAGTTCTCCAGCTGTTTTAAACTTCCTACAGTATTTGACACCAGTTCCCTGTGACAGGGAATTCTTTTGGTCAATTGTATTTTGTACAAAGTATTTTCTTATACTCTCTGTAAAACTCTTCCAAATGAAATTTCTGTTCTTAGTTAATGGGACAGCAACTCCGTTCAGACTCCACCCCTCACAAGCACATTTACTGTATCTTCTCAGTTCCATAAAACAGCAACAAGCACTCCAAGGGAAGCCTCACTTCTGTAGACTCCTCTGTTGAAATACGACTAAACAGCAACAACGTAAACTTTCATTAGCTCTTCTGTGATCTAAAGAAGTGATTCCATGTTATAATCCCTCTGCTACAGCACAGAGTCCTTCTCACCCTTTCTGATACGCTGCATGTATCTTCTGGAGAAAAAAAAAATAATAAAATCACTGTTTTCCTTCAGTAAAATACCTCCTAAACTGGTTGCAAATGTCAGATAAAGTCATCACTGTACCATTTTAAGAGAAACGCTTTCCTCTGGAAGATGAACTCCATGCCACCGCTTTTTTTAACTGAAAATTTTAAGCAGATGCTACCAGCTTGTGGTATTTTTTTAACTAAATACGTCATTTGGAGCACAAACTTCTTTCTACCACAAAGTCAGAAAGAAAACATTAGTGCCAAAACAAAGCACATGGAGGTTTTACAGAGGAAAACATGGACATCAGTGACCCCCAAAACCACATTGCGTACCCACAGCAAACCAGAGCAGAGATTCCAAATCCTTCTCACACTACACAGTTCACTTTTCAATGTATGTATCAGTTTGTCTTTGGGGCAGCGAAGGCAACTGCCTGTAACAAAATGCCAGTAAGGCAATTTGGCAAACAGCCATGGAGAGATCAGCACCAATAGACCTGAAACTTTCACAAAAATTGAGAAACTCCACACAAGGAAGTCAGTAAAATGAGAGATGACTGTTAGTGACAGACAAATTTTCATTTCCAGGTTACTCAAATAAGATGCATCATTTTTACCACATAAAATGTTTACACTCATTAACACCTTTGCATTGTTTTAAAAATTATACCTCCAACTGCTGCAACGACATGCATAAAAAGTTCTTAAATATCCTACATGGGACAAAAATTCAAACGGAACACAGCATCCCCAAGCCCTTTGCAAATTATAATAAATAGGGACATTCAGCAACTGCTAAACACAGCACACGTCACAACAAATGCTACAGCTGCGTGAACACACCGTGAACAGTAATGCTGGGAAAGAAGCAAAAGAAAATCCTTTTAAGAATTTGAGATTTTTGTCAAAATCCAGAAGCAGATGACAGCAGCTGAAATAGAAATTAGGAAAAGTAACTTAATTAGTAGTTCTACTGACGAGCAAAGTAAGCAGCGACGTTTAATTTCTTATACACTCATGACTACTAGTTTTTCAGCTCCCCAAAAGACCTCCCTATCCTCCAGCACACAGCTGGAACTCCACCACCAGAGACTGCAAGCAAAGACTTCCAGCTACTAAATTACCATCTCTATCACACCTCAACCAGTCTTTGGGCGCTCTTCCACTCAAGCGTTGGCCGAACCTAACCGTACTCTTGCTCACTAGATCTGACGAGGTCACATCCAGCACGACTGTAACTGCACAAACGGGCTCACGTCGTGCAACGAACGTACCGTGTTTCCAGCTCCCACTCTGTTAGAGACTGGCACCATCTCCAGCTTGGCATTGTTGGGCAGCCTGGCGAACCTCCACTGCAAAGAGAGATCCAACACGCTCCTCTGAAACCTAAAGGAGAGCACAGCCCATGAGGACACCGGGAACCGTCCTAGACCACCTTCAGACCTCTGCAGGGACTGACAACAATGTGAAGTCCGGGTACTGAGCAGCAGAACTCCCCGCCGGCTGACCAGAAGGCATAGGGCAACCATTCAACAACGCACAACAGGGAACTCAGGAAAAGTCATCACCAAAAATTACTCTGCATACCAAAAAAAAAGTTGCAGGCTGTAGAGGTCACAGATAAAATACTCAAATATATGTTTCGCCTCAGGCTTTAAGAGATAAACAGCAGCTGAACACATATTCAAGCCTGGTGTTCATGGTTAAATAAAAAGGTACTTTTTTTGCTGCTGCTCAAATAACCCCTTGGTTATGACTGGGCTGAAGTGCGGAGTCTCACACGGGCTGAGAGGAGCAGAGTCCCCCCAGCCTGTGACCCCCCTGTGTGGGGAGGGACGCCCTGCTGCGGGGGACAGGGGATCTGGGTGATCTGCCCCAAAACCCACGGGAACTGGGCTGTGGGGGAACCGGGAGATTGGTTTGCACACAACAACTCCGTTGTCCAACAGCGCGGACCCGCCGACCCCTCTCCCCAGGGCCTGGCCCACCTCCTCCGGCTACCGGCCGTGAGCGGGGCCGGCCCTGGGCGAGCAGCTCCGACACGG